GATGGGGTAAGGGGAGGGTCAGTTCTTAACCATAAACCTACAACTAGCCACTCACAAGCAGAGACGGTGTTACCAAAGTGCATCACGCCTGGCTTGAAACACAGAAGAAGGTGAATGCAACACAGATTGAAAGCTCTAGCCTCAAAGATGCCCTGAAAGCTCTATCCTCAAAGATGCGCTGAAAGCTCTAGCCTCAAAGACGCGCAGAAAGCTCTAGCCCCAAAGATGCGCTGAAAGCTCTAGCCTCAAAGATGCGCTGAAAGCTCTAGCCTCAAAGATGCGCTGAAAGCTCTAGCCTCAAAGATGCGCTGAAAGCTCTATCCTCAAAGATGAGCTGAAAGCTCTAGCCTCAAAGACGCGCTGAAAGCTCTATCCTCAAAGATGCCCTGAAAGCTCTAGCCTCAAAGATGCCCTGAAAGCTCTAGCCTCAAAGATGCGCTGAAAGCTCTAGCCTCAAAGATGCGCTGAAAGCTCTAGCCTCAAAGATGCGCTGAAAGCTCTAGCCTCAAAGATGCGCTGAAAGCTCTAGCCTCAAAGATGCGCTGAAAGCTCTAGCCTCAAAGATGCGCTGAAAGCTCTAGCCTCAAAGATGCGCTGTAAGCTCTAGCCTCAAAGATGCGCTGAAAGCTCTAGCCTCAAAGATGCGCTGAAAGCTCTAGCCTCAAAGATGCGCTGAAAGCTCTAGCCTCAAAGATGCGCTGAAAGCTCTAGCCTCAAAGATGCGCTGAAAGCTCTAGCCTCAAAGATGCGCTGAAAGCTCTATCCTCAAAGATGCGCTGAAAGCTCTAGCCTCAAAGACGCGCTGAAAGCTCTATCCTCAAAGATGCCCTGAAAGCTCTAGCCTCAAAGATGCGCTGAAAGCTCTAGCCTCAAAGATGCGCTGAAAGCTCTAGCCTCAAAGATGCGCAGAAAGCTTTAGCCTCAAAGATGCGCAGAAAGCTCTAGCCTCAAAGATGCGCAGAAAGCTCTAGCCTCAAAGACGCGCTGAAAGCTCTAGCCTCAAAGATGCGCGGAAAGCTCTAGCCTCAAAGATGCGCTGAAAGCTCTATCCTCAAAGATGCGCTGAAAGCTCTAGCCTCAAAGATGCGCTGAAAGCTCTAGCCTCAAAGATGCGCTGAAAGCTCTAGCCTCAAAGATGCGCTGAAAGCTCTAGCCTCAAAGATGCGCTGAAAGCTCTAGCCTCAAAGATGCGCTGAAAGCTCTATCCTCAAAGATGCGCTGAAAGCTCTAGCCTCAAAGACGCGCTGAAAGCTCTATCCTCAAAGATGCCCTGAAAGCTCTAGCCTCAAAGATGCGCTGAAAGCTGTAGCCTCAAAGATGCGCTGAAAGCTCTAGCCTCAAAGATGCGCAGAAAGCTCTAGCCTCAAAGATGCGCAGAAAGCTCTAGCCTCAAAGATGCGCAGAAAGCTCTAGCCTCAAAGACGCGCTGAAAGCTCTAGCCTCAAAGACGCGCAGAAAGCTCTAGCCTCAAAGATGCGCTGAAAACTCTATCCTCAAAGATGCGCTGAAAGCTCTAGCCTCAAAGACACAAAAGGAGATCACATACAGTTAAACCTCGCTTAACGAGCACCTCTCATAACGAGTAATTCGCATAACAAGCAAAACAAATTGTAAAAGAATTACTTGCTTAACGAGCGACGTTTCGCATAACGAGTGGCGAGGATATGAATATTTTGAATTAATTATTAGGGAAATAATTAGGAAATAGATTTGTAATTTTGTGTGTGTGCAAAAAGTTTAATAAACCCTTGAGAAAATGTCCCCGTAGAAAAAGCCGCAAGAAATCAGCCATAAGAGATTAAAAATAACCATAGAAATGAAACTTCAAATCATTGAAAAGCGAGAACGAGGTGTAAGAGTGGCTGATCTAGCACGCACATAGAGTCGGTTTACATCAACGATTTGCACTATCCCAAAGAACAAGGACAAAAGTAAGGAGAGGATGCTTCACAGGGAGTGACAAGAATATCTGCGTAACGGTACGTACTGTCGACGATTTTGAAAGGTTCCTTCTCATATGGATAAATTAAAAGCAACTACAAGGTGACACTATTAACAAGAACATCTTTTGTGAGAAGGCAAAAATGATTTTCGCCGACCTCGTTAAGAAGACGCCAGGATCGTAACAGACAAAGAAGAAATATTTAAGGGAAGCCGTGGATGGTTCGAGAAGTTCAAGAGGAGAACAGGCATCCACAGCGTTGTGAGCCACGGTGAAGCAGAAAGTTCCGACACAAAAGCAGCAGAGAACTTCATCGGCGATTTCAAGAAGCTCGTAGATTCTGAAGGTTACTTGCTAAAACAGGTTTTTAATTGTGACGAAACAGGTCTCTTCTGGAAAAAGATGCCGAAGCGAATGTATATAACAGCAGAGGAGAATGCATTGCCCGGCCACAAGTCAAAGACCGTCTCACGTTGCTATTTTGTGCTAATGCAAGCGGCGATTTGAAAATTAAACCGCTGCTTGTCTACCATTCAGGAATTCCACGAGCCTTCAGTAAACGCAAAACCCAGAAGAGCAGGCTAAATGTGATGTGGAGGTCCAACAGAAAGGCTCGGGTGACACGTGACATCTTTACTGAGTGGATCAAGGAAGTGTTTGGTCCTTCTTTGAAAAAAATATTTTGCTTGAGATGAATCTGCTACTCCATGCCTTGCTTGTTATGGATAACACTCCTGCCCATCCTCCTGACCTACAAGATGACTCCCTGAAGAATTTAAATTCATCAAGATTCAGTTTCTGCTTCCCAACACCACTCCGTTACTCCAGCCCATGGACCAGCAAGTTATTTCTAACTTTAAGAAACTCTACACTAAAGCACTATTCGAGCATTGTTTTCAGGTGACTGAAGGGACCAACGTCACTCTCAGAGAGTTTTGGAAAAATCACTTCCACATCGTGGCCTGCCTCAAGATGACAGAAAAGGCGTGAAAAGGGGTTACCAAAAGAACCCTAACTTCTGCTTGGAAGAAGCTTTGGCCCGGAGAGCGTTGTCGAATGTGACTGAAGAGTTCGAGACAGTACCTGTGGAACTTGTAGTCAACGAGGTTGTGTCTTTAACCACTATCATAGGATTGGAGGTCGATACAGTGATATCGAAGAGCTTGTGGAAGAGCACAGCCAAGAGCTGACCACCGAAGAGCTTATGGAGTTGCATTGTGTTTCACAGCAAGAAGTTTTCGAGGAAAGTTTGTCAGAGGAGGAGGTAACAGAAAAGCAACAATTTTCTGGCGAAGTAAGATAAATGCTAAAAGCATGGCAAACTGTTGCATCTTACATTGAGAAGCATCACCCTAATAAGGGAGTGGCTATGCGCGCTGCAAATTTATTTAATGATAATGCTGTGTCGCATTTTAGCCAAATTTTGAAACGTCGGCAAAAATAAATGTCTCTGGACATCTTTATAGTAAAAAATAATTAGTTATGTATCATAATTATTTCGATTTTTTCCTGCAAATCGAATTCGCAATCCAGGTAGTTTCGTTCCGCGGTGGAAGAAAAGATGAAGATGATTCACTCTCCTTAACAATATGAAGATAATTTTCTTTGAATAAACGTTATACAAAACATTTTGTGAGTATTTTTTAGACATAGAACTCATCGTATTTTACGTTAATTTATCTGAGAAAAATTGTTTCGCATAACTGTGTGTGTGTGTGTGTGTGTGTGTGTGTGTGTGCGTGCTTGCGTGTGTGTGTGGGGGGGGGGTGGATGGATGAATGTGTGTGTGGGGGGGGGTAGGATGGGATATATGGATGTGTGTGTGTGTGTGTGTGAATGCATGTGTGCGTGCGTGCGTGTGTGTGTGGGGTGGTGTATCCGGGTGTGTGTGTCTGTATATATTTATATATATATATATATATATATATATATATATATATTTATGAGAGTGTGTGTGTGTGTGTGTGTTCAAGTGAGTGGGTATGCGCGTAGATGTGGGTGTGTGTGCGTGCGCTTGTGTGCACATGCATTTTACCAGCCATGTTTTTTCTCTCTTGATATTGACAATATGCATATTATCATATGAATATAAAATGCTTTATTGATATAATACAACTGCTGTGTGAAAGACGCGTCTTTGGAAGGGCTGAATGTAAGACGGGCCGGCGTGCCCAATTTGTGACCCTTTAAAATTAACGTTCGTTCGTTCATCACAGCCCTGGTCCAGGCGGTGACGGGTAGTAGACGTTTTACTGTATGTATGTATTTACTGTATATATGTATTTACTGTATATATGTATGTATTTACTGTATATATGTATGTATTTACTGTATATATGTACGTATTTACTGAATATATGTATGTGTTTACTGTATATATGTACGTATTTACTGAATATATGTATGTGTTTACTGTATATATGTATGTGTTTACTGAATATATGTATGTGTTTACTGTATATATGTATGTGTTTACTGAATATATGTATGTGTTTACTGTATATATGTATGTGTTTACTGTATATATGTATGTATTTACTGTATATATGTATGTATTTACTGTATATATGTATGTATTTACTGTATATATGTATGTGTTTACTGTATATATGTATGTATTTACTGTATATATGTATGTATTTACTGTATATATGTATTTACTGTATATATGTATGTATTTACTGTATATATGTATGTGTTTACTGTATATATGTACGTATTTACTGAATATATGTATGTGTTTACTGTATATATGTATGTGTTTACTGTATATATGTATGTGTTTACTGTATATATGTATGTATTTACTGTATATATGTATGTGTTTACTGTATATATGTATGTGTTTACTGTTTATATGTATGAGTTTTATGTATACACATAGTATATATATATATATATATATATATATATATATATATATATATATATATATATATATATATTCACACACACACACACATATATGTATATATTTATAGTATGTGTGTTTAATGTACATATTTGCTTTTCGTTGCCACTAATGTCTATTTCCGTTATTGCTTCTCTTTCTGCCTAGCCTGTGATATGAACGTTCACAGGAGATGTGAGAAGAACGTGCCGTTGTTGTGTGGGGTAGACCACACAGAGCGAAGAGGCCGAATCCACCTCAAGGCTGTAGTCAAGGGTACCAAAGTACAGATTGAGAGTAAGTAGACGGCTACATTTGTTTTTTCTTTCTGAAGTAAGCATTTTCTACGTCGTCAAGTGTGTCAAATAATACCACATATAAACGCATATAAGAAAACACTTGACCACGTAAGGGTCATGGGGGTGTTTCGATGTATGCACTAGCACACGAAATCCAGCATCTTTCTCTGTCTTCTTCTTGATGAATAATGGTATGATAACTTAGTCCTGTCCATTTCTTGATGTTGTCTGCTTTTTCTTGATGAATAAGGGTATGATAACTTAGTCATGTCCATTTCTTGATGTTGTCTGCTTCTTCTTGATGAATAAGGGTATGATAACTTAGTCATGTCCATTTCTTGATGTTGTCTGCTTCTTCTTGATGAATAAGGGTATGATAACTTAGTCCTGTCCATTTCTTGATATTGTCTTCTTCTTGATGAATAAGGGTATGATAACTTAGTCCTGTCCATTTCTTGATGTTGTCTTCTTCTTGATGAATAAGGGTATGATAACTTAGTCATGTCCATTTCTGGATGTTGTCTGCTTTTTCTTGATGAATAAGGGTATGATAACTTAGTCCTGTCCATTTCTTGATGTTGTCTTTTTCTTGATGAATAAGGGTATGATAACTTAGTCCCGACCATTTCTTGATGTTGTCTGCTTTTTCTTGATGAATAAGGGTATGATAACTTAGTCATGTCCATTTCTTGATGTTGTCTGCTTCTTCTTGATGAATAAGGGTATGATAACTTAGTCCTGTCCATTTCTTGATGTTGTCTGCTTCTTCTTCTTTCGTTCGCCTGAAATAAGTTGTCTATATCAGCAATTTTGTCTCTTATATAAATTTCACTGTCGTTGTTAGTTCATTCTGTGGTCCATAGAGTTTACGTTCCACAGTTGTTCTTTCTGGCCAAAAGGTTTGCCTTAATGTGTCAAATTCTGTGCAGTCCTGGAGTACATACTCTGCTGCCTGGGGCACCTTTCCACAGGTGCATATGGCTGATACGCCTATCGTGATGTTGTCATTCAAAGTTCTGCAAGTGGTTGAAAAGATAACAATTTAACATTGAGTTATTCGAAGAAAACTGGAGATGAAATAAATCACACAGTTAATTGCAGATCAACAGATGAGATGGTTTGACCATCTGACGAAAGTAGCCCTTATCAACTGCCACAGAAAACCACAATAAAGAAGTATAATGGACACATAGCAAGGAGTTGAGATTTGAATTAATAACCAACATGACAGCACTCGGGGCATTCCTAAAAGCGTATATAGCAGTGATATTCTAAACTAACGGGTACATGGCTTTAAACATGACATAATAAACACATTTAATTACAGTGCGCAAATAAATGATTTCAAAACGTCTATAGTCAATAAACATGCACCGTATAAAGTAAAAACTTATTAACATGAACTCGTTTAAGACGAACACTCAATAACATCCACAGCATTTTGCTTCCAGCTGGGATGTAGTATTCATAATAATCTATTTTTCCCTGGTTAGAATGAACTTTTTAACATGAACTCTGCATTTTTCGGTCCTTTTGAATTCATGTTAAAGAGGTTTTACTGAACATTTTCCCCACGCCAGTGGCGCATCAAGCACATGGTGCCAAGCCCACGTTTTGTATACATATCCGCACTTGAAAGTCTGTGCAGGTTCGAACCCATACAAAACATTAATATTACCAGTAAACCTACTGCTCGACTCACGACCAACTGCACTTTCGGCTACACAAAGAGAAAAATTATCAAAACAGAAAGATTATTATACAGGCAGGGTCGAATAGTCTCTCGCGCAATCGATGCAGTAGAGTGTTATAGATATGTATCGCAGAATTATCAGAGACACTGAAAAGTACTATATACGAAGCGAGCAGAAGAGCCGGTTCTAGAGATCTTTCCCTCCCCTGACGCCGCGAAGTATTCCAGGAGTAAAGAAAAGAAAAAGATATATATACATATATAATTTATTTTTTACATTTTGTACATTAATGATAAGGAGTCGCCCAGCCGAGCAGCTAGACGCTTGCCGCGGATCGGAGCCGGATTTTTTTTTTTCAAAAATGACCTTGGCTCCCTGGTCGACACAGCTTTGAGTGGGTACCGGGTGCAGTCACGGAAAGTAAAGGCGGCCGGCGTGATGCGAACCACATCACTAATCTTGTGCTGACTTGTGTCTAGCCCTATATGCCCTATACGCCTAATAGCATGGAAAAGGGTCCTTTACTTTTACTTTACTTTTACATTAATGATACGTTCATATATTCTTGAATTTTTCATGCTTTATGTACAATATCCATAAACTGTATGACTGAAATTAATAAGAAAAATTTACATTTAATTAAGATCAGTTTAGCTTAACAACGTGTTGGTCTGGCTGGAACTCGATCGCAAGTGGAGGATTTATCATCATCTTTTGCATTGACCCATTAAAAGGCTGTTTGATACATCATGTTGTAAAGAATACAGCTAGGCTGCGTTATCTGCGTTTTTCGGTCCAACAATGCCGATTTCTGAAAACCCTTAATATGTTTTCGTCTTTTTACGACGAGCTTGTTAAGAGGCTACATGTCTGATCTTTAATTCCCCCCCCCCCCCCACCCCCAAATGGTTCCAGCAGGGGCAAAAAACAAAATGACGATATTACACACGTCTGACCTACATAGAAAATCGATTTCTCTATGCTTATATAGAATTCATCATAATAAACGTTTTCTATAAATAGTAACACATTTATCTGGCAAGTTTTTACCTTTTTTTTTTTTTTTTTTTTCGTTTAATTTGAATAAATTGAGTTCATTGTTTTAGTTCATTGTTTATTCGGTTGTTACCGCCGTAAAATCGATTTCTTCCCCCTTTCCTCCCCATTTTAGGATGTTTTATCGATTCTTTTTTTTTTCTTCAGGCATACATTAGTGATTACAACCTTTTACTGCCGTCATGTTTTCATAAAGTTGTTATTAAAATATTATTGTTATTGTTACATGCCAAGCTGTCTAAGCTATACGTAAACATTCTCTCTCTCTCTCTCTCTCTCTCTCTCTCTCTCTCTCTCTCTCTCTCTCTCTCTCTCTCTCTTTCTCTCTCTCTCTCTCTCTCTCTCTCTCTCCCTGTGTGTGTGTTGTTTCCTGGAGCTATGCAACCCGCATGCAAGTAAACATTAGTACAACAAAATGCATGTTGATATCAACAAGATAAACGCTATATTCGTTAACTGCACAGAATACGCTTCAACTCTACAATTATTGAGAGAAATTTAACCTTTACTTCTTATGTGCAAACCCTAGTGAAACAAACAGGTAAAAAAAGTATACCAGCTAGCAAAAATTACACACTTTATGGATAAAAACACCAGAAGGATATTCTATACCTCTCATATTCAGACCCATCTAGACTACTGCTCCACAATATGGGATGGCTGTCCAAATTCAATCATGAAACGGCTTAAAGCACTTCAAAAAGGAGCTGCATGCTTAGTCAGTAATAATCATGGAAGAGACAGTTTCAGTATACATAAAGATCTGAAGTTACTGCCCTTCCATAAACGACAACTTTTTAATAAAGCCAAAGTTATTCACAAAATCTTATTTAAAAAATGCTCCAGATTACCTGTGGCCATTCTTTAAGTTTAATGGGCGACATAGCAAACGCCTAAACATATTACACATCCCTAAACCTAGAATAGACTTGTACAAAACAAGCTTGGCCTACTCTGCAGCTTATCTGTGGAACCAACTTCCACAACCAATCAAAAATATCAACAACCCATACAAATACAATTGGAAGCTTTTTGAATATTATCTCACTACAAACTACAAGCCCCCTTAGAAGATAATAGTTTACTAAGAATACTGTTGATTTCCACCAATGTTTATTATATTTAGTATTATACATGTTTTAAAATGTAGGCATACTTAGAGCGCATTTACACAGATGTTGTTGATGCTATTTAATATTGTTATTATTATTATCTGCTAAAACGATGTGTGCATGAATAATGTATGCATGGAGTGAGGCAGAATAGAAGACGGGCCTGTGTGCCCAATTCTTGATCCTTTGAAAATAAAGTGTTCATTTTGTTCTCTCTCTCTCTCTCTCTCTCTCTCTCTCTCTCTCTCTCTCCGTGTGTGTGCGCGTGCGTGTGTGTGTGTGCGCGCCCCCCCCCTCTCTCTCTCTTGCTGTCACATCACCCTTTCTTCCTTTCCTTAGTACCTAGTACTCCCAGCGCAGCGCTAATTCCCGCACCACCTCTTCTGCTGATATGCCCTAATAATGTTATTATACCTGTTACTAGCTTGCGCAGTCACCTATTGAGGGTTGCAGTATCGCCTACCAGCCGGATATCCTGAGTTCGAATACGTATGGAGTCGAATATTGTGTGTGTATGAGTGTTTGTGTTAGTGTTTATGTAAGTGTTTGTGTGAGTGTTTGTGTGAGTATAATTAGCTTTTCCCTCCATTCCAGATATACACAGCCTAAAATTAAATAAAGGATCCCTTTCCACGCCTTTATGCATATTGGGCATATAGGGCTAAACTGGTTCATTTTCAGATCTGTTTATTTAATAGTTTTTTTTTTTTTTAACTCTGTAGTAAAAATGAATGTACTTATTTGTGCAGAAGAGACAATAAAAGACCATTTTTAACGCCATCAGGCGTATTGGGCATATAGGGCTAGACCTGTATTTTACAAACCAGTCAGCACTCGGTGGGTGATGTGGTCAACATCACGCTGGCCGCCTTACATTCCCAGGACTTTACCTGGTACCCATTTAAGGCTAGGTCGACCTGGGAGCCAGGTTCATTTTTGAGAAGAAAAAAAAAGTATGACTTTTTCAGGGCCTGACCCCACGACCTTCTGATCCGCAGGCGAATATTTAGCCGCTACATAGCGACGGCTCTTAGCATAAAATGTGTATCAGGAAATGTCCTGGGAAGTAAAGTTGGGAAGCGCGATGTTGGGTAAATCACGTATCAAGTGCCGACTGGTCTAT